CAGAATTCTGATTATCAATTATTTTAACATATTAAAAGAAGATATTATATACTATAATTTCGTTGAAATGAGATAAAAATGGCTATGCAGGCGTTTTCCCCAAACTAATGCTAATATTGATTTGTAAAACCTTTAAAACATTTAAGTGCGACCTTCCCCTCAAAAATCAATGTGAGTAAATAAATAATATATTAACAATTTTGCCCCCACCCCCGCTGGTTACCTTCAGGAATAGTGAATTAAGACCTCTGACCTGCAGAATCATCCGAGAGGCCACGTCCATTTCCGAATCTTTCTTTAAAAGGAAATAAAAACGAACTACGGCTCAAAGAATCTGCAGGTTTTGAAAAGGGACAAAAATGTTGGAGAGGAAGTCAAAGAAATGACGAGAGCCTTGGACAGACAAAAGCAATTAGGATGATGGTGGGGGTGACCATCCTCGTTCAACATTTGAGAGAGCGAGAAACATATCAATGGGGTGGAGGCCTTGAGTGAGATGAAAGACCCCCAGAGTGAAGGAGAGGCCCCGAACAACAGGACCCTCGGCACTGGAGTGTGCGCGTGGGGCGGGGGGGATTTCTGTGTCCAAAATTGGCCCTAAACCTCTTATGATTACCCCCCTCCCCCTTAAAATTGTATAGCTGGGATGGCTTCCATCAAGTCGCTATGGCAACATGGAGTGGCCTGATGAAGGGTTTGTGACAGTATTTCAGAGTTACAGATCTCAGACAGATGGATCTATTATAAACAGACAGAACAGATAGATAGATAGATAGATAGATAGATAGATAGATAGATAGATAGATAGATAGATAGATAGATAGATAGATAGATAGATAGATAGATAGATAGATAGATATCGGACAGAGAGATAGATAGGTAGGAATAGAGACGGACGAATAGACAGACAGATATACAGATAAATAGATAGACAAAAAGATAGACAGACAGACAGACAGATAGATATATAGATAGACAGACAAACAGATAGACAGAGATATATAGAAAGATATCAGACAGACAGACAGATAGACAGACAGACAGACAGACAGACAGACAGACAGACAGACAGACAGACAGACAGACAGACAGATAGACAGACAGACAGACAGACAGACAGACAGACAGACAGACAGACAGACAGATAGATAGATAGATAGATAGATAGATAGATAGATAGATAGATAGACAGACAAAAAAACTTTCCAAATGAAATATAACAATATGTTTGCTCATGTTACTGTAAAAAAAAAATGTTTTAATTTATTTATAACAATTGTGTGAAACTGTGGAATATTCATCTAATCTAAAAATGTAATTTAAAACAATGTTTATATATATATATATATATATATATATATATATATATATTACAGTTTGGTGCTAAATAGGATTCTTCATCTTTAGGAAAAGTTTGATATTGTTGTGTGCTGTAATGCACGTTTCTGGACAGCTGTGTGAGCGAGATGCCTCTGCTGTCCCACAGCAAGGTGGACAGTTGACCTGTGACCCCTGTGGAACCAGGGTCAAAGGTCAACAGGGTCTCAGAGGGTCAAGCTACAAATCATTATCTGGCCAAGCTAAAGCACTACACTGATTACAATGACAGACGCACTCTATCTATCTATCTATCCATCTATGAATGAGGTGAATTTCCAATGTAACTTTTAGCGTCTCTCATTATCAGTGAGAATTGAATTACATCTGCCACAATGAGTATCAGGTGAACATGTCTAGGCATGTAGAAACACGTCCAGCCATTGGCTCTGACTGACAGGAGTGTGTAGGACAGCTGGTCTGTCATCACACCCTCTCCTCCTCCTCTGGGCCCACGGCCACCGGAGTGCCACAATTATCCATCATATCCAAATCGACAGCATTTCAATCCTGAAAAGTAAAGACTGTGAACACCGTCTGGGCCCAAACTGGCTATTCTGAGCTCTAAACAGCACTTTTCTGATCTCGTCCCATGCAAAACACCTTTCCTGACACCTGCTATAATGGCAAGACACGCTTGTCGGTTAATTTATGCAGGACACACACTCGCTCTCGACTGGCAGGGAGCCGCTGCCCCATATTTTGTCCTGACAAATTCTCCATCTGGCATCAATTATATGACAGAAAACCAGGGAATAGAGGTTTAAACACTTTGAGTTCATATAAACAGTTGCTCTCCTAACATAATGATTTAGTTTTAAATTTAGTGTAATTTGTTACTAAAAAAAAAAGCATATTTTGAGTAGGCCATGGAAAGACAATTTTAAATCACCAAACAGTTATGACACTTAATAATGGGGTGTTATTAAAATGGTATTAGTTTTGAGTGATGAGGTCGTTTGTATCCAACACCTACTGTCTTAATCACATGGAAATGAGCCAAACACAGACGTAGTCCAATAAAACAGCCTTTAACAAAGGTTATAAATCTTAAATGTGTTTGAGAAAGATACTATGACCATCTGTGCTATTAGAAAATAAAGCGCCCATATTGTCTACATTTGTCAAAGCAGAACATACTTCAACGGACGTACTTTGTCCTTGTGACTCAAGCGATTCTGCTGCCAAAAGTTAAAATATTTTTACACAAAATTAGATTAAAACACAAAATATGTGTATTTAATTCACGAGGTGAATTAAACATGCATCGAAATTCGTCGTGTAACAATAATATATCCCGTGACACACTTACCGCAATTGTTTCTCATAATATTAATGTACAATTTAATGTAGCCTATACTAGCCTATTATGGAAAAAACGGTTGTTTGAAGCCTTATCAATGTTAGTACAATGGCGCCCTCTGGTGTTTCGTTGAAGAGTTACAGTCTCGTCTCTCAACTGTAGGTGGATACATAGACAGTAAAGGGTCAATGACGTGATTCTCGTTTTGTTGTTTGTTTGTTCGAATCTACTAAAAATATTCAGAAATTAAATGAATTAAAATTAAATACATGTCTTATTTGAAGACATGTTCTTAAAAGTATTACAAGTAAATTTGAAATTTCTGTGGGTCTATAATAAAGGTTCCTGATGAAATACTTAGTTTGGCAGTCTTTTATTATTATACATTTTTTCTTAAAAATGGTTTAAACATTGAAACTATTAAAATGATTATTAATAAATAATTATCTACACCACAGCTATATGTATTCAATTAAACAACATATTTTAGATATGATCCTATTTTGTTATATTTTATTAAATATGTGTCTGCTTTTATCAGAGTAATTTCAACAAAATTATTGACTTCTTGTTTTTACTTGGTAGATTCAAAGCTGCACTGTGTAACTCTTTTAGTTTATTCTTAGCTAAAAACACTTAGTTCTTTCAAAAATATATGTGCTCATCAATGTATATTTACTTTGTTCAAGTAAGAAAGTATTCTCGTGAGTGTATAATATGCAATAAGCCATTGAAAATACATACGGTAAGGGGTTCTAATGTCGGTCGCCATGTTGCTCCTCCATCTTGAAAGTACATTAGCCAAAGAGGGACATACCCATTATAATTCAAGCTTCGCCTCTCGCGTTTACGACCTCATGGACGAGGTCGAACTGGAAGCCATGTTAATCTTGGACTACATTGGCCACCGTAGGAGTTAAAACGAAATCGGAATTCAGAGGAACAGAAACTAATATTCACTGGATGGTCATATATCTTTTCACCACTAGATGGGGGTAAAAATCAATATCACGAGTAGGTCGTTTGTAAACTGGGTGAACACAAATATTACACTTCTACGTCGCCTACGTATGTGATTTAAACGATTTTTATCATCTTTGTCATGACCCATATGCAATCCTCCCTGTGCTAATGTTTTGTATATGGTTTATAATCCTAACAGACCTTTCAAACACATTCATCAGCATTTCCTGTTTCATTCCAGGTGAGTTGGCTTCCGCGTGTACCCGCAGCTGCGGCATCAGTTCACGCGCTGCTCCATTAAACCGCCCACATCCTGTCCGGCTCTTCCGCGGGGTGTCTGATTGAAAGCAAGCGTTTCTTTGTTTGATATCAGACAGGCATGTGAACAAAGACAAACACCCCCGCGGATCCTCCGGTGTGTAATCCGGGGTTGACAGATCTCGTCTCCGCAGCCTGTCTGAGCAGGTTCTGAAGCAAATATCCGTCGTTGTGGATCTGGTTACAATGATCATGGAAATGTGGGTCAAGAACCCACATTTCCATAATATATATATATATATATATATATATATATATATATATATGTTTGTGTGTTCAATCGTGTTCACGATTGAAATAAATATATACTGTGTGTTCACGACTTGAAATAAATATTTAAAAATATGTATGGTTTTATACAATACACAAATGTATTTAAAGGAGTAGTTCACTTTTTTTTTTTAAAAACTTTTGCTGATAATTTACTCTCCCCGATGTCATCCAAGATATCCACGTCTTTCTTTCTTCAGTTGAAAAGAAATTAAGGTTTTTGATGAAAACATTCCAGGACTTTTCTCCATATAATGGACTTCAATGGGAACCAAACGGTTCAAGACACAAATAAGAGTTTCAGTGCAGCTTCAAAGGGCTTTAAATGACACCAGATGATGAATAAGGGTCATAACTAGTGAAACGATCGCTCATTTAAATAAATAAATAAAAAAGTTTAAGTTTTATAGGCTCAAATGCTCGCCTTGCTCTGTTCTGTGATGAGCGTTCGTGACTCTCCTGTTCAAACTCGTTCATCAAAATAAACAAATCTTTAGTCATGACTCGAAAACTCATTTGGAAACTCTCATTTGGACCTTTTTGGTTTGGTTCCCACTGAAATCCATTATATGGAGAAAATCCTGTTTGTTTTCATCAAAAACCTTAATTTCTTTTCGACTGAAAAAAGAAAGATCTTGGATGACTTGGGGGTGAGTAAATTATCAGAAGTTTTTATTAAAAGTGAACTACTCCTTTAATTCCACCCCTCTTTAAAGTTGTCAATCCAATTGGACTTTTATAGTCAATAAAAACATTTGGGACATGGAAAAACCGTTATGTGTAAACATTTATTGGTTTCAAACTGAGATAAAAACAACTTGCTCCAGCAAACATTTTACAGCCTTTCATAGTCCACACATCTCACAACCAAAATAAAATAAGAGAAAAAAAAAGAGAAGAGGGGAAAGACGAGTGTGTGTGTGTGTGTGAGAGAGAGAGTGCAAACCTTTATTCCAGTGACTTTTAATAGGATAAGAAATCTAAAAACCCATAAATGGACTGTTGAATGTCCGTCGCCCCAAAGACAGGTTACGAGAAAGAAAGCGATAAAACCTTCCGTTTGGCCACTGCGCCGTTTCCATCAACGTTTAAATTAAGTTAAAAATTCAAAAACACTCAGTCCACATTCTGGAGAGCCAAAAACTTGCACTCGGACGAAGGAAAAAAAAAATGACTTGCTTATTTGGATTCGGCTACAGTATAAATTATGCATTTTTGGACGTTGTTTTTCTGGCTTAGTCATTGTTCAGCGTAAAACGCGTCCCTGTTTAAAGGCACAGGTCGAAGTGTTCCCTTGTGTCCCGTCTTTAAGTTCATGGGTCAGTTGTAACATGTTTGGTTGCTTGTTTCCATTCGTTTAACAAAAAATGGGCAAAAAAATTGTACAAACAATAAGATGCGTTGTGACATTTGCGATAACCCCCCCCAAAAACAACATCCTCCGGTTTCAGTTTTGCACTCCTGATCTATTCAAAATGAACAAAAAAAAGTCATAAAAATAAGCCAAACATCTTATTTTGCTTCGGTTTTGGGTTCTTTTAAATAACAAAGCTTGATAGCTCAAATTCGCCTGAAACCGTGAAAGAACAATTCAACTACAACATTCGAAATGTTCTCTTTTTTTTTTTTTTTTAACAAACTAGCGTGAAAACCACATTCGAAAGTAACAAACCCGTTTGGATCAAGCCATAGTGGTGCAACAAACAAACAAACAAACAAAACCAGGAAGGCGTGTGACTGAAATGGCAGGAAGTGAGCCTGAGGCAATGGTGGTGATTGGTGGAGAGAGGGGGAAGGGGCGTGGCCTCACTGAGAGCTGGATCTGGCCAGCGTGTGCTGTTCATTATGTCCCCTGCTAGTTCTCAGTTTGAATTTGGTGATGGAGCTGTTGAGTTTTTGGAGCGCGCTTTGCGCCGCGTACTTCGACGGGAACAAGGCCAGGATGGTGTACGTGGACGCCAGGTCGTGAGGGGGAGGGTCAGAGTTCGTGACGTCCGCTCCCTCTGATTGGTTGGGGGATGGGGTTTCGGGCAGCCATTTTATGAGAGCGCCAACTTTGCTCAGTTCTGCCAGTAAAGAGTTCGCTTCCACTCGAGTGATGCCAGCCGGAAGGTCCGTCACCTCCAAAACGCGGCCCGTGTCTGAACGCACAAAAATAACGTTACTGAAAAACTGCTAGGAGTTTATATACAGTCAACCCCATAATTATACAGACTAATTATAGAAACATTTGGGACCAAGACCCGACCATGTTTTGCTTAAAGGAGTGGTTCACTTTTAAAAAAGAAATTATTAAATTAAATTTTCTCCATATAATGGACTTCATTGGGAACCAAACGGTTCAAGGTCCAAAAGACAGTGCAAACTGAAAACTGTTTAAAGGGCTTTAAACGATTCCAGACGATGAATAAGGGTCTTATCGAGCGAAACGATCAGTCATTTAAAAAAAAAAATAACAAAGTTTAAGTTTTATAAGCTCAAATGCTCGTCTTGCCCGATGCGCGTTCGTGACTCTCCTGTTCGTTCAAAATGAACAAATCTTTTCCCGAGTCAACTCGTTAATTTTGTTCGTTGAATGAACCAAATGACACGAAAAAAGATTTCTTCATTTTGATAAACTTTTTAGAGTTGGAACAGGAGAGTCACGAACGCGCATCACAGAAAGGCGACCATTTGAGCTTATAAAACTTAAACTTTGTTATTTATTTATTTAATGAGTGATCGTTTCGCTTGATAAGACCCTTAGTCATCGTCTGGAATCGTTTAAAGCCCTTTGAACGGTTTGCAGTTTGCACTGAAACTGTCTTTTGGATCTTGAACCGTTTGGTTCCCATTGAAGTCCATTATATGGAGGAAAATCCTGGAATGTTTTCATCAAAAACCTTCATTTCTTTTCGACTGAAGAAAGAAAGACGTGGACATCTTGGACGACATGGGGATGAGAAAAATTATCAGTAAAAGTTTTTTTTTTTTTAAAGTGAACTACTCCTATTTCACGGTAACGATATATTTCACGCTATAGTTATTTATATATGTAGTTATCCTCAAAAAATCGACTATAATATGTATATAAAATGTGTGTGTATATATATAAATAACACACACACACACACACACAGACATGCACAAATACACACTCACACATATATTATATAAACAAACTTTTAAGTTAGATGCGATTAATCGTGATTTTGAAGATTGTGTTTATAAAATATTGTATATACACACACTTTAATACATATTGGATTTTTTTTTGTATACACATAAGTCTACACAAATAGGATTTGCTCAAAAAAACAGGATTTATGTATTTATCCAGACATTTTTTGGTCCCCATAATTGAGCTGTATTTCAGCGATCAGACTAATCATGACAATTTAATCAAAGTTTATTTGTTTTAATTTTATTTTTAGTTTTTTTTTTTTGTTTAATCTTTTTTTGGATGCGTCATGTAGCCTATGTGTCCGTCTTTAGCTGTTTATTTTTTGTCTGTAAGGGCAGCTACTACTATTCACCACGCACTTTTAAGTCCATGACAAATTTCCAAAAGACAAAAGCCTATTCTATTCTCTCAATACGTATCTGAATATTAATGTATTTTCATAATTCATGTTTTCATACCCGTTTCTCCAGTGCTCATGTCAGTAGACAGTGATTTCTTTGGGGGTCTTCGACTACGCAGGCCGTGTCGGATACCCACAGGACCCTGAGAAAGAGCCGAACGTGAGCCGATGTGTGTGAACAACAAGAAACTCCTGTGTTTAACATGACGATGGTGATGAAGATGACGCTGAATGCACATTAATGCTGTTAGATCACCTGAACGTACTCATGAGTGTGAGAGCAGTGTGTGTGTGTGTGTGTTCAACCTGGTGGTGATGAAGATGATGATGATGGTGGTGGTTGACCACATGAGAGCCGTGCATTAGTGGCGGTCTGATGGGAGGGTTATACTGGAGCGGCTGCCCAATCAGAGGAGGATACCTGCCATCACCTGTGAACACACACCAACACGAGCGTTATCTAAACTCACACCAAAATGTATAACAGAATGTACTAAAAGCTATGAGCTAATCGGATTGGCTCACCTTGGCCTGGAGCGTAAGGGCGGGAAAACTGGGGCATGATGGGAAAGGGGGCGTGGCCAGGACGAGGACCCTTCAGATTGACCAGATGGGCAGGAACAGGAGATTGCGCCGGAGATGGGGAGGGGCTTAGCAGCTGCTGCGGATTATTCTAGAAAGCGAGAGCGAGAGAGAGGTCATGTGTGTTGTGTCACGTGAGGAGTGATGTCACATGGGATCTGATGCAGATGTGTGTACCTGCGTGGCGTCCTGTGGGGGAAGCTCGCTGGGTTTGTAGTAGCGGTTCGGTTTCCAGTGCGGTGGAGACGGGGCTCTCGGCTGCTGGCTGTGAGGAAGGCTCAACTGCATCATCACCACTCCACCAGGAGGGGGCGGCGGAGGCACTGCTGGAAATCACACATTTCATGATACATACTAAAAACCACAAGAGTTTAGACTGGAAATGAGAAGGGATTATATGTATTCAAATATATAATATGTATAGTTAAAATATAAGACAGACAGATAGATATGCATATCTTATATTTTCAATCTATCTATCTATCTATCTATCTATCTATCTATCTATCTATCTATCTATCTATCTATCTATCTATCTATCTATCTATCTATATATATATATTATATAAAATTATTTACATGCACACATTAGTTTAACTACTTGCATTCAATACCAACAAATAAATTTTAGTCTTAAATTATGGATTGTAATAAAATCAAATAATATCAAATAAAAAAAAATCACACACACATGCATATATATATATATATATATATATACACACAATATATATATATATATGCACACATTCGTTTAACTACTTAAATTTAATACTAAATATATAAATTGTCATAAAAAACAGAAATGGTATTAAAATATATTAATTTTATTCATTTATTCATATTTTTAAAAATAATGTATGTATTGTAATAAAACTCTAGAAATGTTTAAAAATATAAAGTATGTATATATATGTATACATATATATATATATATACACACACACATACACACACCACCAGTTTTAATAAATTATGGATTGTAAAAATATACATGAAATAATAATCTAAATTACATATTGCAATAAAAACAATTGTATTCTTTTAAATATGTAAATTATTAAAATATTAAACTATTTTACTAAACTCATTAAAACATTTAGACACCACATTGTTCTCTATTATTTTAAATAGTTTTGCCTTATATAGTACTATTGCACACATAGTAGCATAGTTCCTATTTTAAATATAATAAAACATAAGTATTAATTTATATACAAATAAAATTCACTATTATTACTGATTAAAGTCAACTAATTAAAGTTGAACGTCTTAATAAAACTTTTAGACATCACATAGTTCTCAATTATTTTTAACATCATTACAGATCTGATATAGTACCATCACACAATATTCTTATTAACCTTTAGAAATGTACAGCTTCACTATAGCAGACATGTATATTATTAATCAGTGGTGTTGAAAATACACTGCTTGCTACTGAATTATTCGACAGCAGGCAAAAATGAAATGTACCACTATACACACACCACACACACACACAGGCCAATTAAAGCGCTTTATTAAACAGTGAAAGGTCAAAGAGTGTGTGGGTCTCGCCTCTTCCTCATTAAAAACACCCTCTTCTTCAGCAACATAATCATCACCTCATCTATACACTTGCTGAGCGTTCATTAACACTGAGGTTTATTCAAATACACAGAGTGTTCTCGCAGCTTCCGAAACGTGTGATGAACTCTTCCCAAACGCCCGTAAGGCACAGGCACAAACCAGCATTGTAAACAACATTTAATTAAACAGCTAAGTAAAACATTTTGAAAATGAGAAATAAACTGCTCAAAGCACATTACATGTAATCAACTTATTAACCGAGAGATGTACGAAGACTTTATATCTAATTAAAAAAAAAAACTGCCGTTAGTTACTAAATGACACCGAGCTTTAGAGGTGAATTCGAGCTTCCACAATAAAAAAAAATGGTTTACATTACTTTTTTACAATACATTTTTTTGACAAAGTTTTACTTAATTTAGAAATATAATGTGAATATACAATTTAGTGTTGATTATGTACCAAAATATATACCAAAATTTGGCTAAAATATATATAAATTAAAATTTATCCAAAATTCTATATATATATATATATATATATAATAAATATACATTTTATATATATATATATATATATATATATATATATATATATATATATACACACACACATATATATATATATATATATATACACACACACTGAAGGCGGCTACGATACCTGTGCACTGCTGGCCTGTGATTGGCTGAGAGCCGCAGGGGGAGGGCGCTCTTGGAAATGACATCTGCTCTGAACCCGGCGGCGGCGGGAGGAAGCCAACGGCTGAGCTGTACACACACACAGAAAGTCGGCATGAGACACACTAGAGGCCCAATCAAATCAGCGATGCCTCAATCTGATTGGTTGAAAGCAAATATTCACTTTTAAACGCATTGACGTGCACTGGACGAATCTCAGTGTGTTACCTGATGCTAGAGTGTTGTGTTGGCGGCAGCATGCTGTAATACACCTGCATGTTGCCGGAGGGCGCTGGCGCTTGATTGGTCTGTCCCTGCAGCATGATCTGTTGCTGATAGGGTGCCTGCTGAACGCTCTGAGACCCTTGCTGCATAGACACCTGCCAAACACACACCTTACTTCATCAAAATCACTCCAGGTACTGAGAGAAAAAAAAAAGATGAGATTTGCAAAATGCAGCACTGACCTGATACGGAGGCATTGTGGGATACTGCACCATAACGCTCTGAATCTGATTGCCCATTCCGCCCTGAGAGCTGACCAGCGATTGGTTCTGAGTCTGTTGAACTCCCATCATGCCCTGGTAGCTGGGGGGTTGACTGGGCATGACCGTCTGGAAACCTGAAATGACATTCACACAGCGACTATTTAGTGTAAACAACAGCGAATCCATCCGACAAACAACATCTGGAAGTGAAACATTAAGTGCAAAAACAAAGAGGGGTTTTATGCAACATTAAAGCTGTAAACAACTTTTAAATAGCAGTTTAACTACGAAAAGACTGAAATAAGTGAAATCAAGTAAAAGACGCTGGCTGGTGTGGAGATGAGCAGGAACAGATGGACGTTAAAGGAGTAGTTCACTTTTAAAAAACACTTTTGCTGATAATTCACTCACCCCCATGTCATCCAAGATGTCCACGTCTTTCTTTCTTCAGTTGAAAAGAAATGAAGGTTTTTGATGAAAACATTCCAGGACTTTCTCCATATAATGGACTTCAATGGGAACCAAACGGTTCAAGGTCCAAAAGACTGTTCAAAGGGCTTTAAACGATTCCAGATGATGAATAAGGGTCTTATCAAGCGAAACGATTACTCATTTAAAACAAAAAATAACAAAGTTTAAGTTAAGCACAAATGCTCGTCTTGCTCTGTTCTGTGACGCACGTTCCTGACTCTCCTGTTCGAACTCGTTCATCAAAATGAACAAATCTTTTTCCGAGTCAATTCGTTCGTTGAATGAACCAAATGACACAAAAAAAGATTTGTTCATTTTGATAAACGAGTTCAAACAGGAGAGGCACGAACGCTCATCACAGAACAGAGCAAGACGAGCATTTGAGCTTATAAAACAAACTTTTTCATTTATTTTTTAAATGAGCGATCGTTTCGCTTGATAAGACCCTTATTCATCGTGTGAAATCGTTTAAAGCCCTTTGAACAGTTTGCGGTGAAACTGTCATTTGGACCTTGAACCGTTTGGTTCCCAATGAAGTCCATTATATGGAGAAAAATCCATCAAAAACCTTAATTTCTTTTCGACTGAAGAAAGAATGACATGGACATCTTGGATGACATGGGGGTGAGTAAATTATCAGCAAAAGTTTTTTTTTTTTTTAAAGCGATCTACTCCTTTAATGCAGACAAACAACAGCGCTACTGAAGAAAGAGTCGCTTCGTGAGAAAAATAGATATAAGTTTGTGATGTCTGCAAAATAGCTGGTGATAATAATAATAGTCTTATTTACCAGCATTTTCCAGCAAATCTGTCAGGATGTCTGGGTAAATAATATGTCACCTAATTAATATCCATGAGCCACACTGATAATGTTTATAATAATCAGTTTATACATAATAGTATTATTATTGCAATATTTAATATTTAAAAATGCAACTTAAATGCTCCATTTAATACATAAAAAAGTCAAAATTTTGGATTGTAATGCTATATTTTTATTTCACATAATTATAACAATAAAAATAATTTAATAAAAGTATGTGATATTTTTGCATCGCAGTTATATTTAGTATAATATAGTCTCACAATATTTCATTTTAGAAATGTATAGAATTGAATAAAGTTGATCTCTGCAACCACTGAATTAACACACACACACACACATTTGTAATGATCAATAATAACTATAATTAACCTTTTAAGCGACGTTTAGTACGGATTGTGTGTAGATTGAGATGTTTACGACAGAGCATTTAAAAGAGTGATTCTCGTTCCTCTCATCAGATCCAGTAGATGACGGGACGGCTCGTTCCTCCTCTGTGTGTGTGAGTGCGTGGCTATTTTTACCTGCCCTTGCAAGGCCAAAGTGAAGAGAATAAAAGCCTGTCGATTTCGACCATACAAGCCCCGCACACACACTCAAGTGCTTGTGAAAGGGGCTCTTTCAATGTCACCGTGGGCACACACACACTCTAAAATACCACCTCTGAATCCTTTCATTTTTCCTACAGGTTCACCCAATTTAATTTCCAACCCGATTTCTACACTTTCAGGCAGAAATGTAAGTGATCATTTCCACTCGGCACTGCATTTGTTGCTATGATCCTATGAGAGCTTGTTAGCATGTCACTATGCTAATAAAAGGTATGCCAATTATGCCACTTGATACTTATAATAATTAGCTAAATGTTTATAGATACTTAAGTATTAAAAAATAATGAAATATACTTTATTATTCAATTTTTTTGTTTCTGGAAACAGTAAAAATGAGGTCAAAGGTTGAGGAGTGAGGGCTGGGAAAAGAGACCGGTTCACTGTGAGAATGACTACGAATCTCATACAGTGACACGGCCCCGTCTCCCAGCGCTCCAATCAGAGCGCGCCGACACCAAGCCCTGTTTCTGCGGACACTTCGACAGAAAGGGAGTGTGTAGAAGCTGTGTTTGTACCTGTCTGTTGCGGTGGCAGTGTCTGACTCTGGGGGGCGCTGTAGTGTAGCGGCGTCATTGCTCTGTAGTGTTGGCTTGAGTGCGAGTACTGACCCGGAGCACAGTAACACGCCGACACCTGCACACACACACCATTAATGTCCCATTATTACGGCTCCACAGGTATACATTTGATAAAAAAAAATAAATAAATAAAATTAATCAAATAAATAATTATTTTATATATATAAATACACACACATGCTTGTATATATTTAAGAAATATTTTCATGTATATACTGTATATATATTTATATATAATTTATATTATATATAAATAGAAATATTTTATATATAAATAATATTTTTTTCTTAAATATACATGTGTGTGTGTATTTATATATATATATATATATATATATATATATATAAATAATTATACACAGTGCACCCACATATATTATGTAAACACAAACTTTTATTTTGGATGTGATTAATCGCGATTAATAGTTTGACAGCCCTAATACATACACACATACATACACAAATATACATAAATATAAATATATATATATATATATATATATATATATATAAACACATACATACATATATACACACAAACACAATATTCTTCAATATTTTTAAATGTAAAAAAGTAGGTGAGAAAAAAATTCTAAATTAAAAATTATCTACATTTTATATGTAATTTTATTAAATTATATGATTTTTTTAAAAAAGTACTAAATAAAAAGATTATAATCTATATATGTTATACACACACACACACAAATAAAAGTAATTTATTTGATAAACATTTAAGCTAAGTTAAACATTATATGAGAAAAAAAAACTATACAATCTGATTTTATAATACATATTTTACATTTATACATTTTTAAAATTATTTAATTTTATAATAAACGGTATTTACCTTTATAAAATTCATTATGTGTTAAAGTACTATATAGGAATCCTATAATTAAAACTATTGTAAATATGATTTGAATACATATTTTGCATAAAAATACTGTATATATTTTACTTATATGAAAATATAAATGATAAAAATGTATCATCATTAATAGTGGACCATAAGTGTGTTTCTACCTGCTGCACGGGCTGCTGTATGTATCCGTGTGGCTGTAGGATGGGTTGATTGACGGGTGTGGGATGGGGGTAGGGATGGCTGCTCATGGGCTGTCCCGCCGAGGGAAGCATGTAGCCGCTGGGCGGATGGTTCTGGAGCACCAGGGATTGTGGGTAGAGGCCCGTGTGGGGGTCCGGACCGTCACCTGAAGGCTGCCGAACTAGATTCATCTGGCTGAACTGGGCACTTAAACCATCCTGTTGCTGTTTTAATAAACAAACACACACACAAAAATTCAAATTCACTTATAAAACAAATATTTAAAAGAATTATCAGAGAAAAAATTATTTTATAAGATATTTTACACACATATACACATATATATATATATCAAGGTCTTGTGGGTTGGTACAAAAATAATATTAACTAATAGTCCAATTTTACAATCTAAATAATAAAAAAGATTTATGCTAAATTAAAATTGGGTCATTTTTATAATCAATTTCTCTCATTTGAAACCCAAGAGTTGATTTGATTACGCAACTAAATGAGATCTATTTGTAAAAGTTGAAGTGGATCACACACTGAAGGTGTCATGAGATCACGGGACTCTATAAAAAACTAAACCAGGGCATCACACGAGGACTTAAAGCTCAGATCAAAGTCCTGCCCCTCATCCACCAGGACATCACCACTGCCAGACATCTTTTTATTAAAGTAGTAACAACATCTGGTGTGGTTAATTATTCATGTGGTCTGAATTTGTTAATGAGGGTGTTATATTTGGTAGAAACAGGTCACAGAGTGAGAAATATGACAGAAGTGACCCAATTCAGTCATTACGCTCCGCTGGGTACAACAAATCACACGGGGCTCGTTTTGAAACTTTGGAGAGATTAATCAATGAAACTGACGGAACGGAAATAAACCGAGAACAGAGTATCTTTTGACATCCAGTTTCTGATCGCAGGATGCCACAGAATATGGAAATGAATAAATAAAAATTAAAAAAAAGTTAAAATTACTAAAGAAAAGAACAAGGACAAACTAACAAAGAAAAGAATTAAAGACTGAAAAATAGAGAATAGAAAATAGGGAGGGAAACAAAAAATAGGACAAACATTAAAGGGGCCATATTCTGTACTTTTGTAACACTATTTATTTATATTGTATATTTAACTTGTTTCAAAATGACAAGAAAATCTAATAGATAAATTAACATAATACTGGAAAAATGTAATAAAAGAATAACTAATATATATAATGTATTATAAATGCATATATAAATAATAAGTAAAATTCTATTAAAAGCATTCAAATAATGGGGATCACGTGACCCATCGACAGCGATGCCAGCATAGTTTTCAGCTCTGCTCGCATAATCTTATTTTTTCAATTATCCTATCACATACTTGAAATATTTCGACACCTTTCTCATCATGAGCCTTTCCCCAACCAAAGAAGCACGGAAAAGGGAAAATGAACAATCGCCTTTGAAGAAAAAATTTAAGGATTCAGCCATTTCCAAGGAAGAACTCGATACGGCTATTGCTAATGGCATAAAGCTAGCCCTCCAAGAACAACAACGCGGTCTAGATATGGCCGTAGCCTCCGCTGTCAGGGAAGCTGTAGACTCTATCCTGGTCCCAGCACTACGTGATTTACGAACCGAAATCCAAAAGACTAATGAAACCGTAAAGGAGATCAGCACTGAACTTGAGAATGTAGCCAAATCCTCTAAACGGATTCAAGGCCGATTGGAATCTGTTCAGACGGCTGCACGAGAGGATAGGCGATCGGTTATCGAATTAAAAACCCAGCTAGACCAGCTCACTACAAAGTTGACAGACCAAGAGGACAGGGGACGAAGGAATAACGTAAGGCTGGTTGGCTTACCGGAAGCAGTGGAGGGTTCAGATGCAATCGGCTACCTGAAAGAGAATCTTCCCAGGTGGATCCCCTCATTGGTGGACCGAGACATTGAAATTGAACGGGCACATCGTGTGTATGATGGAGGAGAGGCTAAATCCAACAAGCCGCGCACCCTTATCTTCAGATTACTGCGATGGCAAGACAGAACGGCTATCCTGAACGGTGCACGTCAAGTTTATCCAGTGAAATACGCAGCCAACGGTGCTACCCGCTCACGCGCATCCGCTCACCCGCTCTCGCCTCCCGCTCATACTTCGGCTTCAACGACCGGCACTATTTTGTTCTTTCCCGATTATAGTCCAGCGACAACAGCAAAGAGAAAGAGCTTCAGTTCTACCATGAAGAAGGCTAAAGACATGGGCCTGGAGCCATTCCTTATTTATCCCGCGCGGATTAAACTGCAGTATAAAGGCGAGAGGAAGATGTTCGACTCCCCCCAGGCCGCCGAAGATTTTATCAACTCTCTTCCTCGGAGGTCAACATCTAACGTTACACCGGTACGGCGCGATGGTGGTGCTACTGATGCAGCCTCAAACCCGACCAAAGAAAAGAACGACGGGGACTCTCCTCACGCTAGAGAAGGCGATTTAGTGGACATGGAGGAATGAACTCAAATCAGCTAACAAGTTTTCTTGCATGGACAATCTTAGGATCATCACCACAAGGCATTTTGGAATGTAAGTGTAGTAATTAGGCTACATCCCTGAGATATTGTTTCTTTGAAATGACCTAAAACTAGTATGCTAAGTTACTCTTGTTTTACAAGTTCGAGAGGTGACGAATATATTCATTTAATGTGTTACGATTGTGTGGGCTTATCTGATACTATAGCCAGACGTTGGGCTGGATTGGTCACGTATCAGACGATGTTTATGTTCTTACAGACCTACGGCTTTTTGCCCGTGCGGTCTGTGTTTGTTTTTGTATATAGTTTTCCCCCTCCTTACAGACATATTCCTACTTTTTTTGATAGAACATCACATCAGCAGTGGGACATCGGTGCGATAGTTGGCATGATGCTTACACACTTCTTTTATAGACTAACATGCTCATATTTCAAGACAGATCTTAGCGATATAATATGTCGATGCAGTCTTTGAACGTATTATCACTCAATGTGAATGGCCTAAACTCCGCTATCAAACGCACTCGTGTTCTTGAGTATCTACATCGTAAAAAGGTAGATATCGCCCTTATTCAAGAAACACACCTAAAACAATGCGACGTGGCACGATTTCAGAATAAATATTATAGATTAATTGCGTCATCGTGCGCCCTAAATAAAACCAAGGGAGTATGCATCCTTCTTAACCGGAAAATATCATGCAATGTAAATGTTACTGGAAGTGATGAGAATGGAAGACTTGCTTTTGCCCGGGTTTGTATACTTAATCATAAATTAGCCTTCACGTCCATATACTGCCCAAATGAGCCTGACAGAGTTTTCTTTTCTTACATTCAAAACACATTGTTAGAACAAAATGACTGTTCTTTAGTGGTGGGAGGTGACTTCAATGCAGTCCTTAACCCGTCTCTTGATAAATCTAATTCAGATGTAACGGCCAACCCTTCATCTACCTTATTGAATACACTTCTCAAAGATTTAAATCTTGTGGATATTTGGCGTATACAGAATGTTACTTCTAGAGATTACACATTTTTCTCCAACAGACATAAATCATTTTCCCGGATAGATTATATTTTTCTTAGCCCGACCCTAATTGCAGGACATACGTCCATTACTATTTTGCCAATTCTATTATCTGATCACTCCGCACTTATATGCAACATCGATCTGCCCAACATCAAGTCAAAGGCCCCCAGGTGGCGTTTAAACACATCTTTACTAACTAACGCTGGATTTCTTAGTTCACTCAAAGCAAAATTAAAAGATTTTTTAGATATTAACACAAAGGATTGCCCTAATCCGCAAGTTTTATGGGAAGCCACAAAATGTTTTTTACGTGGTTTCTGTATCTCATTCTCCTCAACTTTAGCTAAAACAAAAGCTTCCCAGATCACAAATCTTGAAAACAAAATAGAATCATTAGAGAATTTGCAAAAACATAACTTCTCAGATGATCAGTCTAAATTGCTAGCATCTTTGAAGGATGAATACAAGACACTGGCCGTATCAAAGGCAGAATTTATCTTGCATAGAACCAGACAAAAGTACTATTTTGATGCAGAGAGGCCTAGTCATCTACTTGCTCTTATGCTTAAAGAATGTGAAACAAAAGCTCACATCCCAGCAATAAATACGCCTAGGGGCAAAATTACTACCAATCCGCAGGCCATCAATAATACATTCTTAACATTTTATGAAAACCTATACAAATCAGAGGTTTCTTATGACGATGCTACCAGCAAACATTTTCTTGACCAACTAGAGCTTCCCTGCCTCAAGCAAACTGATCAAGATGATCTGGAAGCTGTATTAGAGCTGGATGAACTTCATAAAGCTGCGAAATGTCTCAACAAAGGCAAATCGCCTGGTTTGGATGGCCTCCCTCCAGAGCTTTATTTAGAGATATGGGACATGGTGGGCACACTCATGCTGGATTCGTTCAATTTTGCAATCCAAAATGGGACCTTCCATAGAGACCAAAAAACAGCACTTATGACCCTGCTCTTGAAAAAGGGAAAAGATCCCTTTGAGTGTTCGAGCTTTAGACCAATATCTTTACTTACAAGTGATCTGAAGATATATGCCAAAGTACTCGCTCTGCGCCTGGAAAAAGTTATTCAATCTCTAGTTAAAGAAGACCAAACAGGCTTTATCAAGGGACGCTATGCATCTGATAACATGAGAAGGCTGCTACACATTATAGAGGTGGCAGAGACGCACCCAAATCCTTGTGCTGTGTTTTCACTGGACGCAGAGAAAGCGTTCGATAGGATAGAGTGGAAATATATGTGGGCAGTTCTACAACGTTTCGGTTTCAGGCACAATTTCATATCAATGATCAAGGCGCTATACCACTCACCTTTAGCAAGTGTTCTAACAGGTGACATAATCTCCTCTCCTTTTACCCTGCAACGTGGTACAAGACAGGGGTGTCCACTCTCGCCACTTTTATTTTGTCTCTCTCTGGAACCTCTAGCACAAGCCATCAGACAATCTACAGCCTCCCCTATGGAAATTGGTCGCCATAATCATATTATATCTCTGTACGCGGATGATATAATTTTGTTCTTAGACAACTTTGACACCTCTATTCACCCAGTTATTAAAGAATTTGATAAATTTAGCAGTCTGTCAGGCTACAAAATTAATTGGACAAAATCTGCACTTATGCCTCTAAATAATATACACACAAGTGTTCCTATC